ATAACTATAAAAGGCAGTAAAATGAAAATGGGAAAATACAATAAGAAATTCTTTAAAGAGGGTAGCGAATGCACGGGAAAAGAATCCCTTACATAGGTGGCTCCCTAATATGCGAGTAATAGTAGTTTTATATTATTTTTTTATTCATTAATTTTTAATTGTGTGTATAAATAATTGATTTTTATATAAGATTATTTTTGCGTTCAATAAATTGTATACTTCGTTTCCTATTGTAATAAGCACTTAACTTTTCCCATTGTCCGAAGAATATTACAGGAAAATACTCATATAGTTGCCAGGTCAACCTAACCAAAAAACAAAAATACTGAATGTATACTAATAAAGAATCTAGTAAAAAGCAACCCAAATTAAAGCGTACCTATATATAACAAAAAAACGAAGACTCAAAAAAATTGCAGTACCTTCCTAAAATAATCACGAGAAACCGTTAGGTCTTTTTTAATTACGCTTTTTTTGGCCACTTCCGCTAAGGTAATTCGGCCAGCTTCTCGGTAGTGGTGTGCAAGAAACTATTTCCATGAAGGATGTCTCCGTAAAGAGGATCTGACGGCTATACAGGGAAAATAAAATGCAATTAATATGCAGAGGCGAAGGAAAATTAGCACTAATGAGTGACTCATACAACTGTTGTGATTTTTCCCAATGAAGAGCACAGTCAAACAGCACATGACTTAAATCTCCGAGTTCTCCACATTCACATTCTCCGGAGGGTTTGACTTTAATTCTATTTAGGTGAGCCGGAAAACTGCAATGGTTGTTTGTCAGTCTACACATAGTCGTGATTTCTCTTCTATTCAGATCCAGCTTATGAAACCAGGGTTTAGTTGGCGAAGTAGAGAAATGTGAGGTGAAATTAACTCCTTTCCCTAATCCTATATATTTCCATCTGTCGCTCCAAGCATTCCAGATATTATGCTTTAATTTAGGGAAACATTCCCTAAAACTCAATTTTATATTCTCCCGTGGTTCTAAGCGAGCAGCATTGGCGATCTGATCAGAAATATCGTTTTCTTTTATACTGGTATGGCTTGGTATCCAGCATAGTTGGATGTCCTTATTTTGAATTTTTATTAAGGTAATCAGTTTATTTTTAACCTTCAGGGTTAGGTAGTTAGACTTTACATCCATCCCAGTTTTATTGATATCTTCGAGGGCACTTTTGGAGTCTGAAAGGATGAATGCTTTGTTGATGTCATTGAATTCAATCCAATGAAGAGCTTGACCAATAGCGTAAATTTCGGGAGAGCAAATGGATAGATCATATGGAGTTATTATTATCTTTCTTTAGTTTTAAGTCCTGCATTTGAACAGAGCTTAAGAGGTTCGGCAGTGGACAAGAGAATCAGGGATAGACTAGGTATCTAACAGTGAATCAACTCTTTCAAAAGTATTCTTACTCTCTTACAAAAATACTTTTTCTCCGAAAAAAGTAATAGGTGATATTTAACCATCTAACCGCTGTTAAGGTTTCATTGCCCACTAAACTGGAGGCTTTCAATAATGATTTAGCCGCTCTCTGTGTTCTAAATCCATCTCACTTGCTTCCCCTAGAAGTATGTTAGAAGGAGTGGAATTCATATATCCCAGAGCTATTCTTAATGCCTTAAATTGAATTTTGTTTAATTGAGCAATGGACTTTCATGAATTAAATAAATAAATCGCATCATATTCGACCCACCTGAAGATTTCTGTATCATGTTTCTAATTTGTGGCTCCCATGACAGTTTTGGATCAAAACCGTTAGGTTAGATTGTTACATCTGTCTTTTAATGCTACAGAAAACTGAGCCGGTGATAGGTCATTGACACCTATATCACCACAAGTACAATTAAAAATCTTCATTGCTTAAAAGAATGGACCAATAAGTTTGTGGAGGGACTTGAGAGGTGGAATACTGGACATATTCCGACTGCCCGCAAAGGATTTGCTATAATAATTCAAAGAGCAGTCTTTAAGAGATCTACATAATTTAAACAAAAATTGAACTCATGTATACTTAGTCCCTACAACTAACTGAAGCCGGTATTTTAAATTGGCTTAAGCGAACATTATGATCAAAGCCTCTCTGGAAAAATACCATTTAAACCACCACTAAAAAACTAAAACTTTTAAAAATTTCCTTTGAAATTCTCCTAATATTTTATTGACAAAAAAATTGCGATACCATGGCCACATACTCCAGCTTACACCTAACATTCCGCCCTTAGTGCGTGTTCGCTTTTAAACTCACTCATTCCGAAATATAAATCCGAACATTTTCAACGCAATATTACATTACCTAAAGCTAAACCATATGATACCCTAGACTACGATATTTTATTCAAGAAACTGTATCAATATGGAATCCGAGGGGTGACGCTAAAGTGGATCAAATCATATCTAACAGGTAGAATGCAACAAGTAGCCATATGTACTGGCTTGAATAGAATTGTATCTAGACCTGCTCTTGTCTCATTGGGAATTCCACAGGGAAGTGTCATTGGTCCTATTTTATTTGTACTTTACATAAATAACATAAGAGAATTACTAATAGGATTAGAAAATTGTAAAATAACGAACTATGCTGACGATACAAGTTTGCTATTAGTGAATAATGATATAAATATCTTAAAGAACGCAGCCACGAGCTTTATGACGACATTTGAACATTGGTTTTATAAAAATCAATTGGTTGTTAATAATAACAAAACAAATGTAGTACTATTCAAGACGAACAAGAGCAAAGTAGCTGAACCAAAAACGATAAACATCAATGGATGTGAAATAGACCTACCTAAGAAATAAGATCAAATTCTTGGGGATGTTCTTGGACAATATGTTAACTTGGGAATTCCACGTTAGTTATGTTGTGGGTAAATTAAACAAGGTATGTTATACGTTTCGGGTCCTAAAAAAGTGCATAGGTATAGATACTAAAAAGATGTTATATCATGCTAATTTTGAAAGTCATATTAGATATGGAATAACACTGTATGGGAGTTGCAGAGACATTGAAAAAGTATTTATAGTACAAAAGCGTGCAATCAGAATACTTATAGTAACTGCAGTGTTCATACAGGAGTGCGTCATGTACTTTTTAAAAAATAGATCCTGTTTCACTCGTAATGAATCACAAACTGTTTATGCAACACGCACACAGAATTTTACTTTTTCTCACCATCGACTCACAAGGACTGAAAAGGGTCCTTATTACCAGTGCATAAAAATATTCAACAACCTTCCGGAATGGAGACAGAAAATTAGAACTGTTAAAATCTTAAAGAAAGAAATTTTTAATATTCTAGTCAGAACAGAACCACACACTATGGAAGAGTTTTACACCAAGATCCGGAAATTGTAAATATTCTTATTTAGACGCTATCTAATCTATGTGCATATACTTTAAATAAAGATATATTATTATTATTATTATTATTATTATTATCTTTCAGAAAAACGTTTATCAGTATTCAATGGCAACCTATCGAGTTTATTCCAGGAGTTAACAATCGAAAGATCTGTATGAAAAAATCGACCGTGTTATTGATTACGAACAATTCGCATCATCTGCAAATAGTAATAATTTAGTCGGTATGCTACTCATTATGCTATTAATAAAAATCGATGTACTTGGCTTCGACGTCTTGCACACTATCTGGGAATTACAACTTGAAAAACAATACTAGATTTGGATCAAAATCCCATTATAATACGTATCTAAGGGAGCTTGTGGCATCTAATCTTATTACAATTGCGAAATCAAATGCATGAAAATGGTTTACCTTTTTTTTCCGACTATAATTGCCACCAGCCATACGATGATTATTTTAATGAATCGAAATAATATATTCGGATCAGATCTATGCCAATTTCAACTTAACATTTTGAAAACCCGTTAAAAAATAAGCTCACGGAGAGGAAATGTAAAATCAGTAAATTACACTTTTATAAAAATAAAATATTACATAGAAGGCTTTGCTTCTGTCCTTCGACACGATTTAAAATTCTGACAGTTTGTACATTTCTTCTTGATTATTAATTTTGTTGCGTTATTGGTCTCACGATTGCGTTATTTAAATAAAAATTATTTTTATATTATTATATATATATATTTCGATACCCACTTTTTTCTAGATATTTAAAGCAGAGTTTTCTGTAAAAAGTATCTCAATACAATAAGGTTATACGCGTTATTTGAGAGGTTTCACTGCATTCCGCGTTCCCCAAAAGCATAACAATTTTTTTACTATAACAAAACCCTTTCGAAAGTTCAAAATTAATAAAGTAAAAAAAAGCAAAGCCTCGTAGCCAATATTTTATTCTTATTAAAATGTAAGTATTTACTGATCTAGTTTTTCCCTTCCTGTAAGCCCATTTGCTATTTGAAAAAGTTAGGTTATCCTAAAAAAAATATTAGTTAAAAATGCCGGTAGTACTGTGAAGTTTTCAATGAAGCGGTTTGAACTCTGAAGCGTCTCTATTAGTTAAAAATATGTGGTAGTTATTGTGATACGATTCGCAAAAATAAATAAAATTTTTAAAAAACAAAAAAGGTTGGGAAAAAGTTACTGTTTTGGCTATATTAAGTTACCCAAATTTCAAATCGCTGAATCAACCTTTTAAAAGTTATTAGAGTTTTCCCACTTTCTTGTGTCACCTGGTATAGTCCTTGGATATTCTATATATGTATAGCGTACACCTCCCAAATCAAGAATACATTTTAAAATGAAAAATTCTATATATTACTTTCATTTGGATATAGCGGCACCGAATCTCGTGGCAAAAAGCACAATATATATCCATAAAAACCTGGCTGCGATCTGTGCCTAACTGTTAAGGGGGCCAAGGTGCTTGCTAACCAATCCGTAGCCGATTCCTCCCATACGCTCGGCCCATTGGTTCGGCCCATCCATTTTATATTGGCGGGGCGTGTCTCCGACGCCAGAATACATTAATATCGTATGAAGAGCGTGAAGTTTCCACTCAAATGGTCACTGATATTTACGCTTGAGCAGAACGTATAAGCTTGAAATAGCTTAAAATTATCGTTCAGATCTTTTTCCGGGTGGATGCGGTTTTAAACGGTTTAAGATTTTATCTACGGTGTTGATTCGGTCCGACGCAACGATTCACTCGAAAAACTGTAAAATTGTCCCCCCCGGTAATTTATTTTTGCAACGAGGACGTCGAATTTCGGATATGGACTGTTAACTTCAATTTGGATTATCCGCGGACTGTTTAGTGACGTGTTAATTTGAATAATGGATTCGGGTGAGTTTATTATTTAAGTAGGTAATAGGTACCTACTTATATCATTATGCCAAAGGTGCTTTTCTGGAAGTGAGCGCGAGTATCGGAAATTTTTAGTTAGTTACATTACAGAAAAATAACGCATTTTAAAATGGCCCAACAAATCACATGCCTAGACACCTAATTCAACCATTCAAATTTAACGTTAAATTTTTTTATTGAGTAACTAGAATTCGACTTAATAGTTTCACTTTTAAAATAAAGTTTATGCGCCCTAAAATAAGTACCTATAGCTATCCAATACATAATAAGTATACCTAAGTGTTCAATTTACAAATCTTCTGGATTACTATTGACTTCTTTAGAGCTCAACTAAAACTGATTGAAGAAGCCAACAGGATGATTGTCGAAACGTCAGCAAGTTCGATTCATCAACAACCGACGCAGGAAGAGTCCAGAAAATTTGTAAATAGTATTACAGTAGTCTGCCTAAGTTTCTTTGAAAAATTTTAAGTATTCTAAGGAATGGAATAAGATTTTCAGCCAGCTAGTTACATTTTAAGTTATATGAAAAAATTGCAAAATGTTTAGATAATTTTATTTTAAAACATAGTAAATTTAATTTTATGAACTTGTGTAGCGAATTTTAGGTATATTTTTTGAATCAATTATTAAACCAGAGGAATGTGAGACAATATAAAAACTAGTAGTACTTCTAATGATACTTGAAAGCGAGTGCGAAGTGTGTCAACTTGGTTTCGTCAAGGGTGAGCCAAACAATTTTTTTCTTATTGGAAAAAATCTAATTTAAAGATATCGACAATTTTCGACTTCCTCATCGAAAAACTTACTAAATAAAATTGGCAATCCGAAACCGCCTGACCGTTACAGGACGTTCGTAAAAATTTTGCAATTAAACACAAGACGCAACTTCTTCATTTTTCAAACTAAGTTAAATTTGAAAAAATATTTCCTTAGCAAAATATCAAAAGTACCTACATATAAAATTAAAATTTTACTATGACACACTCTGGATATTACAGATTTTAAAAAGTTTAAAAACAAATTGTAGTTTCTTAAAGCAAAGATTTGCTTTCGCCTTTGCCAAACTTATTTCCAAAACTCATTGTGCTCGCCACCGCATAAAGCAAGATTTTTTTAAAATTTATTAAATAATATATTAAATAAAAGGATTGCAAATCATAAAATGGCTGGCGAGATCTCCCGACTTAACTCCCTCGGATTTTGTTCAAAGTTCTTACAAATAGGAGAGATATAATCAATGGAGACTTACCAAAAGCCGCAGTAGGGAGAACTTTTGAAACTTCAACACCTTTAAAACTCATTAATACCGTCAATGACGTTAAAAAACTGTGTATCGGTTGTTTTTGAGATAAAACGGTGAGGAACACCTATACTTTAGGATGAGTTTAATAGATTTAGTTTTTAGTTTTTAATGTTATGAGAATATTTTTAAATTAATTTTTGATACTGATAATATTCTTAGCTAATACCTAGGTATCTGTTGATCGTTATTATATTATCGATTTTTATATATCGATATTATAGTATAACAAATCAAATATTTTATTATAATTATAATAATTATTAGAATAATACTAAATTAATTTTGGTGTTTTCCTTATACCTTAATTTGAGTACCATCTAATACTGATGATATTAACTAATACCTATCTGTCGACTGCTATTACTTTTTTAATAGAAACAGCAAACTATATATGGTATAGCACATCAAAAATTAATTTATATGAACTTGATGGGCAACGTCCAATGAAGAACCACAAAAACCTAGATCTTTGTCGTTAAAGCGAAATATAATGTGAGCTCTTTTCAAATCATGATTCGTAAGAAAATTTTAATTTTATGTCGATAACTCAATTAATTTTTTTTAATAAAAAAGTTACGTAGGTATGGTCTGTTCATAGATATAAGAAAGTAACCAATTGCTTTTGAACGGATTATCCAAGGGTGGTCATTAACATACAATGCAATAAGATTATTACCTTAATTATTAATAATAATCTTGTTGCATTGTATGTTAATTACCACCCTTGGATAATCCGTTCAAAAGCAATTGGTCAGTTTCTTATATCTATGAACAGACCATAACATTGTTTAATTTGCAAACACGGAGGAACAAACAATTTCCTCCCTGTGTACCTAATATGACGTATTGCGGTTCAAGGTGTTTCATATTTTAAGATATTATATGAAATTCTTTTAACAGTCTTTTAAGGTATATATAAATACCTGTAGTTATAAGACTCTAATCTCTATAGCAAGTGATGACCCATCATTTATTTACATAATATTTTTTAATATCCAATAATATGTCGGGCCGAAAATCGTATTTATAATTTAAATCCGAAATATTAAAACAATAAAACAATATAAAACCGCATAGACCATTTAAAACCAGTGAGCCTTAAAGATGAATCCAAAACCGTGAAACTATTTAAGCTTTGAATGGCTATATGCGTTCCATTATCGACTGACACTTCGATAGCCTTTGACTTGGGTTCATTGGAAACGATATCAAGCGTTTAAGAAATATTCATAAACAACGCAAAATATAGATTAAGTTCGGAATTTAATTACCATGTCGCATTTCGGGGAAAATGTACAAGATAATATTTTATTGTTCTTATATTAGGTATCCTACCATATGCGAGCAAACACAATAATGCCTTTGAATGAATTTTTACTTTTTAATATTCACCAATATAAAATACATTCAGCTATAGACTAGGCAAGCAACACTCTCTGATTGTTATACCAGATCTCGTAGCACTTAGTAGGATAGTATACTGGGGTGGATATACGTATGTACCTATACATAAAAAGTGACATGCGAGTGTGTGAAATAAATAAATTTAAACTAATTTGGAAGCCGAAATAATTATAATTTTCAAACTTTTGATGATTTATTTTTTAATCCAAAAGAAGCATTAAAATAATTAAATAATAACCAAACAAAACACAAATCAAAAATTCCTTTAAAAAATCAAAGAAATAATTTATTTTTGATGGATTTTCATATCACTAAAATATTTAGTTGTACAAGCATCCACTCACCCATTAAAGCATGACATTATCCATATGTCGGATCGGTTAGGCTCATATACCTAATATGTTTTATGCGCTACAATTTACAGTTCTTCATACCCATGTCTTCCGAGAAGCCATTGGTATAACGGCTACCAGAAAATTCGTAAAGTACCCATTTCAACATTCGAATGTCAATATTTTGGCAATGGTATTAAATTTGTACATCTATTAGCCGGGTGCACAGTTGAACCTAAACCAATAATCCGGCAAGCAAAAAAGACAAATATTTGGTGATTAAATTTGTTCACTAAATGGACTTGGACGCCGGAGGTGTCTTTTTTGTTCCGCTTTTATGTCTCAAGAGCCGAAACAACAAATACCTAACTTCGCTTTAAACTCCTTCAGTCATTATTTTTAAGTAAGTAGGTAGGTACTGTATATGGCCGCCGTTTTTAATGTCGATTTAATCCAGCATGATGAAAGAATCAACATTTGGCATTGCATTAGAAGAATTTTATTGCGTAAGAGTATACCCCTCTGTACCTTAAAAATATATAAAGTACCTACACGAAATGTTGGTTAGCAGGAAGTATTTTCGTTTTAAAAAAATAGGTAGGTCTATTTGGTACTTTTAACTGGTACCAAATTTTAATCATAAATAAATAACTTGAGGTATTACATTACCATTATATCAATTCTTAAAATTTAAAATTTTAATTTCATTTATTATTATTATTATTATTAAATTTATTGCTATAGTTGATTTTTTTTTATTTAACTTATTTTATCCATCAACAGAAAAAATATTTGAAAAGACATTGCTTTGTAAGAAACATTTAAAACAACACATTGTGAGCAAATTTTCTATGAGAATATTAAAAAATTTTAAAAATAGACAGACTTTAATTGATATTAATATTGCATATTTTGATGATTTAAAATAAGAATGATGATTTTATTAAAATATTCTAGGAAACAGAATTTTGTTGGAGGGAATGGGTCAAGCCATTGACTACATCTTGTCCCGAAGTAATTTTCATTGGATTTCAAACCATCAGTTAGGTGCTGCAAAAATATTTTTCAAATTTAGCACTCCCCATTTTATAGGGCATGCAATTTTAAAACCTTTTCTAGTCTGACAAGCTAAAAGAATCCGGGGGGTGAGTCCGAGTCCACAGCTTTCAGTAGCATCCACAGTAAGCTCGCGTTCGCAACTATACCTATGATATAGGGAGGGATATATACCTGAAGATTACTATATTTCGATTTTGTAGTTGAATGCTCTGAGGAAAGAGATATCGCACCTTGCATGGCAGAAAGAATACACGTGTATGGCAGTTGTGGGTGCATTCAAGGTAATAACACTCTTTTAATGTGTCGTCGTACTATACACGGACTTTTAAAAAAACTTTGACCGGATGGGCCACACTGTACTGCTCTCTAAACTGAGGATGCTTGGATTTTGTGATGTTCTTGTGGCATTCATAAAATATTAACTGCATAACAGAATTGAGTATGTGGAGCTCCGCGGTCACTCATTGCTTAGGTTCATGACTAGTATAGGCGTTCCCAAGGGTAGCAATTTAGCGCCATTGATATTCTTGATTTTCCTTAATGATATAGTAGCTAACATTGATAGTCAAATTTTGCTCTTTGCTGATGATGTGAAATTGTTTAGAATAATTGATGGTGTGGTCGACTGTGTGTCTCTGCAGAATGATTTGGAGATTATTGGTTCTTAGTGTCTTTCTTATAACCTACCCCTGAACACAGATAAATGTTTCGGAATAACAATTTCAAACAAAATTGATACTATAACTTTTAATTACCATGTGGATAAGGCATTATTAAGAAAACGTAACAATTTGAAAGACCTGAATGTAACGTTTGACACAAAACTCTCCTTCAGAAATCATGTCGATGAAGCCTGTAGAGGTGCAGGCATTCATAGT